ATGCAAGTCAAGTGGTTTGTGAATCTGGTAATGGTTCTTGTGACACAAAAGTTGATGCAAGTCCAATGGTGAGTGAATCTGATAATGGTTCTTGGGATGCAAACCCAATGGCAAAGGAGGTCAGACGAGGTGTAAGAAGATTTTTGGGTCCCTTGAGAAAGAAGATGGTTTTTTTTGCATTAGTGCCTATATGGTTTCAATCACATCTTAGCTATTTAGACCCTACAGCATCAGGGTTAACTTACTTCTGAGAACAAAAAAAACACTATGAACGCTTTGAAAAAGGATCAGAAACCTTCAAGCATGCTCTAGTTTTATAAGTGCTGCTTCTTTTGTTGTGTGCCTGGAAAATACTTCTACGGTAATTCTGAACAACCCAAGACAGTATCTTTATAACTGAATAAATGCTCAAGAAGTTTCGGATAATGTTTTGAGATTGACTTGGTGTTGCTAAACAGAGTATACTCTGCAGAGATCCTAGTGTCCCTGCCAATAATACTTCAGAATAAAAAAGAGATGGCTAACTCAACAGTGCTTTGGAAAATTTCTCTGACATTTGCATCAATTTTCTGCAGCTAACCTTCTAAAACAAAGTGTCATTCTCGGCGTTAATTTCTCTTCTAAGTTCACCTTTTGAATTGTTGCAATGTGAAACATGATTGACCTTACTCTGAATCCAGCCTTGGTAAGCAACCATGTGCTTTTAACAAAAAGCATAAACACTCATGAGTACAAGATGTTTACTTCCTTTATTCTTTTTCCATTCTTTACCTCTTCATCTTTTAAAAAAGAATTCCTCCTCTTGAGCAGAACAGCTTCACCCGAACCATTTTCATGTCGATCTGCTTCGTGTATAGATGTCACTTCCTTGAGGTTATTCTCCAGTGTTTCCTGGAGTCTATAATCAGACTCATCCGGAGCATATAGCAAGCCCATTCCACATTTCACCACCTCAAAGCTTCCTAGCTTCCTCTTGCTGTCATCAGTAACAAAGAATTTGAAAGAGGCTGCAGTGTTGCAACATCGATTGTTGTCATTACCGTCTTCACGAAATTTCTTGACATGGAAACAGTTATTGTAACTGAGGAACACATGGTCAGACCCAAGTTTCCGTGATTGATGTCCAGATGATCCACACAGCTTATTCCATCCCCCAAGAGTGCAAATAAACCTGATGCAATCACCACTCTCGCTCTTGAACTTGCACTTGCAAATTACAGAGAAACGGCTGGTTTGATCTTCATAGTCTTTGAAAGAGACAACCACACATAAGGAGAGCCCCCTAAATTTACTGTCGCACCAGTGTGGAGGCAAGTGTGTATCTATGGAAGTGCCCATTCTCTGATTGCGGAACCATAAAGGTAAGTCGCTTCCAGGAAAACTGACACTAGCTAAAGGTTCAAGAACTAGTCCCTGAGATGGTACAGAGGAAACCATTAAGCATGAGATCATGATAAAATTTCAATGGAAGAACAGAGTTTACGGAGATGGACCTTATGATTTCGTTTAAGACACGCATTCGCCAGTATTTGACTCTTAAGTTGGGCATGGGCCACAATATTTTCTTGTGCTTCTCGGTTAAGCTTGAAGCAATCAGTGAATAAAAAAGTAGATTGAACTCTTTCAGCTAGCACAAGATGTGTCATGGGATTTGCAACTGTTTCTAGAGAAGCACAGTCATGAGCATCCAAGTACTGCAGATTTGAGGGAAGCACTGGTAGTGAGTTGAGCTTTCTGCAGTGCTTCAAGTCAAGTGATTTAAGATGATGAAGTATCTTGATGCTTTCGGGTAGGTATTCTAAATTGTTTCTGCTTAAGCATAAGCTATGTACCGATGACAAGCAACTGAAGTTGTTGGGCAACTTGTGGAGATTGCAATCTGTGAGATAGAGGTCTGATAAGTGAGAGCAGCCTGAGAAAGGAAGCAACTCATAACCTGTTGAACCCTGGAATTTAGATCCACCAAACGTAAACATCTTGAGATTACTCATACACATTTTTATAGGTATCTGTTTGATGGCCGTATCGTCCATAAGCAAAATCTCTAAGTGTTCCATGTCCTCATCAATTTCTGGGAAACACTTCAGTTTTGAACAGCCAGAAAGTATTAGTTCTTGAAGAGATTTCATCTTGCAAAGATTGCTGGGAAGATGCCTCAACTTACAACACTTCTTTAAATTCAACACAGCTAGGTATCGAAGGCTATCTATGGATTCAGGAACTCTTTTAATTGCAGTCCCATCCAAATATAGAGATTCTATGTTTTCTGAAATTGTTGGAAATGTTCTTAGCTTTGAGCAACCACTGAGGATTAGAGATTTCAACGATTTAAGACTGATCCCCTTCGGAAGACTCTTAAGGCTTGTGCACTCTCTGAAGTTCAAGTAAACAAGACTGTCCATCTGACGGATTGATGAACACTTGATCAAACTTGTACAGCATTCAGCGTTCAGTCTTTCAATATTTCGAGCATCCAACAAGCCTGATAAACTCAGCAAGTCTTTTGAATGACTGATATCAAGCCACCTTAACTCTGCTGTATTCTGCGAGATAACACATCAATAATTTAATAACTATATGCAGACTTGACTCTAGAATCTGTTCTAATAGGAGACTAAACCTTTTCTTCTTCCCAAAGTGTTTTAAGATGGCTATGACGCAGATTGAGATCAACAAGTTTCTTTGGGTTGAAGTTTGATGGCAGGTACTCCAAAGGGTATCCCTGCCAATGGAGGTACACCAGCTCATCTGGAAAGCAATCAAGACCACACGGGAAGCAAAATTTACAGTCATTCTCACACCATTGAGAACAATGAAAAGAATTTGAGGAACTTGAGATTCCACATCTTTGTGAATACATCAGGACTTAGCTTCATGTTTTCTAAATTTGACATATCCAGGAAGATGCCTCTAGTTTCTGCAGTTCCCTGATAAGCAAGATAATCAAATTATAGAGAAAAACAGAAAAAACAGTTATACGAATCGCATCAATACCGGATATGATATAGAAGTAACAAGACATTTTGCTCACCGTTTTATACTTCAGCAAACGGCATATATCGTCTTGGTTCCATAATCGACCCTGGTTACCTGCCTCTTTGATGGATGATTCATAACCTATCTCCTTCCCCATTGTCAGCAGAAGGTCATGCATCTCAAGCCGGTTATCATAAATGGTTACCAAACACTTATCAACAAGATCATCAATCAGAGTTGTAGCATCAATATGGTCAGTATTCAGAATCCTCGAAACGAAATCTGTTTTTCCTGACTTGAAGAAACACGCAATATCGAGAAAGATGCTCTTCTGCTCCGGACACAGTTCCATATAACTCATTTTCAGCACCTCCTGAATCTTACCGTCTGGCCTTTTCTCCAATCTCTCCAACTTTCTCTGCCAGTAAAGTTTGTCCCTTGACATCGATCAGAACCTAACAACTTCAGAGTTACGGGATGCCCTTTAAGCATAATCGACAAACTTGGTCTGATAGACGCCATGAATTCTGTGTTGGGAGAGAGGTTACAAGAAAATGCATTCAAGCAGAAAAGCTCCAGTGCTTCCCTATCACGTAATCTCGGAACCACATATGTTGCATCAACGACCTTCTCCAGTAGTTTCTTGTCTCTGGTTGTTATCACAATCCGACTTCCTTCTCGATACAACTTTTGTTTCCATTGTCCGATAAGGATTCTTATTTGATCTTCATTTGTCACATCGTCAAGAACAATAAACAGTCTCTTGTTCTGAAGACGATCCTTCAAAGCTTCATGTGCCCCTTCAGGAGCTCCAACATCTAGATTCTCTTCATCCAATAATTTTCGGAGGAGTTTCTGCTGCAAATGATTTAATCCATGTAGTCTCTCTTCATTGTTAATGTTTGCGAGAAAGCAGTAGCCATCAAATCGGCTGTAATTTCGTTTATATACGCAATCTGCAACAGTTGTTTTACGGATACCTGCCATACCAAGAACACCAACAACTATCACACAACTTTTCCTTTTAAGATCCAATAACTTTTCCAGTTCCTGCATGCGCAATTCAGCCCCAGGAAGACCACGGATTTCACTGGGAGACAACTTGTTCAGCGTCTTAAAAGTTTCCTTGGCTATTTTGTCTACAAAGTCACACTCGTGACTGCCAAATGCAAAAAAAAAAAAAGAAGAAACGTCAAAACAAGTAAGGTGATAAATAAAGTTCCAAGATAAAATGAGGTTAAGAACTTGTGTTTACTGGAACAAACGACAAGGACACCAAGCTCGAAAAGATAGAAACTGAATCTACACATGAGACAAGAACTTGTGTTTACTGGAACAAACGACAAGGACACCAAGCTCGATTATCAATTCACTTTAAGCTTAGATGTAGATTTTGAAAGAAGAACAGCACCTAAAATTGTAAAGGAGATGGAGTAGAACTCAGTTCATTTTTAGTAAAACTGTAACTATTGCATTCAACAAAAAACTTTGTATGGATAGATTACAAGAGGACTCGTAAGATAGGAATACAGTAGCTGAAAAAAATGAACACTGAATAAAGCTTTCAAGTATGAATAAATGGGAGAGAAAGAGTGCAGAGAGTCTGAAAAAATAGGAAACATCGATGAACATTGGAAAAGAATAGCGATAGATGTAATGTAACGGGGAGTACGTACCTGTTCTCCGGCAGAACATAGCCGGCAATATTGGAAGCAGTATTCAAAGCCTCCTTCCACGCCGGAAATCTGTGCTGAAATCCTGGAAAACTCTCATGGACACTCTCAAACGGTGCTCCGAAATCCCCCGTCTGATTCTCCACATGAGATTTCCGAACTTTGTAGAAGATCGGCAACACCACCTGACCGAATCTTTCCCTGCACTCGATGATCTTCGAGATTTCCTCCAAGCACCAGGCAGAATTCGCGTAATTCTGCCGAGAAAACAAGCGATTGATATCTATCGATTGCATCGATCCTTGTCGCAAAAGTGCCACGGAGATCGTTGCCTTTCC